TATTCTCATATTCGACTTATTTAACTTTGTTATTCGCTGACAAAATTTATATATATGCAGATTGACGACATGTATATTTTGATAGTATAGCAATCAACATACCATCAGATTGGAGTCAGATTTTCAGGCCACTATACCAGTATCAAATAACAAGAGCTCCAACAAGGAAAAATAATGGACATAAGGTGTGGTTAACAAGAGACTTGAATAAAGGTTAAAATCCAAGACAGAGAAAAGAAACAAACGAATGACAATACTACCTCACTTAGGTGGGAAGCACACAACTTACAACAGCACGCCCATACACCCATAAACCCCACACACAATCTGCAGTTATTCGGCTCCCTCCAGAAGACGAAGCTTCCCCAACTGCTCCATACGTTTTCTTTTACACACCACGTTTGGTCACACCTAACTAATCAGACAGCTTGCAGTTAAAGTCCTGTCTAGGAGACGGGAGCACGTGATGGGCACGTAGACCACATATCTCCTGAGCCATGATACTGTTTAATCAGCTTTATCCATTTCCAGTGGTACAACAAAACCGTACTTAAGTTATGCTCTATCATACCTGTGCTGATCATGTGAGTTCCTTTAAACTCAACATTTTCCGGAAGAGTTTCTTCGATACGCTTCGGAATTTCTACAAACTCCCTATTCCTTGAGAATGAAAGACTATCAATCCAGGCTGTTAAATCTAATTCCTTCTGTACGTTTAACTCGTGGAATTCGGTTTGCATGATATCCATTTGATCCAACGTGTCCCCGCTGGTCCACCGACATTAACTGGTGAAGAACGGACAGAGGATTAACCACAAAGGTGGAACACCTGATCCTTGTATTTCTAACATAGCGTAGGACTATCAGAGAACCTATCTAGAAGTAGTTCTTTTCAAATATACGTGGAAGATCTCTACTCAAAACTTTACCTTTTCGGGCACCTAATAATGCTGCTTCCGACTCTAATCTCAACACAATAACTAGGTTTATAGGCGCGAACCTAGCCTTACTATGGAGCAAAACGCTGTCCAGAAGTTTGTACTTGAGGACGATTCACGAGTAAACCACAACACCTGTGATATCTTAAACGCTAATTTCTTGATATACCGCGTACAACAGAGCACCCAAAACTCCTCCAAGTCGCAAGAAGAAGACAAAAGACTAACGAAAGGAATATTATTTCAACAGTGTTCATTATAGTACAAAATTGCCAGGTATTTATATTTTTTAGTAAGAACGAGATCATCATTACAGTCCACCAATCCGCATTCATGGGGTTATTAGCATTGACCAATCAGGAAGCTACACGTTGGAATTCTAGAATATTCTTCTGAAAGGTGATTGGATGGAATAGCTTCGGTTCATTCTGAGCCTCTTACAGCTTCCTCGAGTCCGCTTGTGGTCCGTCGTCACAACACTGGAAGGCATCGGAAAACAAATGTGATTCAATCATTCCACAGTTCTCTCCGTTTTCACTTCTAACACAAAAGGGAATGTTGATCTTCCCGAGCTTCTGCTCAAACTTAATCCAATTGTCTAATGTTGACACATTGCTAACACCCAGTGTCTGGTCGCAAACAATGTGTAGTTTATAAAGGTTCTGTAAGAGTTGCTCAGCGTGAAGATATATCTGAGCGATTTGTCGCAGTGCATCGAATAGAGATAAAGCGGCGGATCGTATTCCTCTCCGGATCATAGGATTTTCCTCAGGTCGAGCAGGAAATTAGAAACATCGTGGGTGGTGTCCCACTCAATTCCAAGGGTTTGGTGAGTGGACTCTTGATTCAAAGGCATATCAACTACCGTTTCTGTACGATCGGATTGTAGAACAGCTTACATCACCAATTCTCAATTAGTTACCCACTGTTTCAACTTGGAACTTTCTTCAACTATCAATTGTTTCAATCGTACCACAAATGTTTTCGCATCTTCATTTTTGGGAAAGGATACTAACAAATCGTTCAGGTAAAAGTTATGCGGCACCGACTCCACTATGTTGCTGTCATAGCCCTTACGGATATTTTGAAATGTCCATACCAGTTCAAAATTTGCGCAGAATGTTGAAGATGTTGCCCCAAAGAGGTATGATGACATGATATCCCATAGGTTCATTTGTGAGACCACCCTCTGCCACTAGGGGAAACGTAGTGCTCTGTGGTGGACCTTTGAGGCATCTGCTAGCATAAACATTTCTTCTGCATCCGCAGATGCGGCAACCGGTTCTCTGAGGTACCCAACTAAATTTGCTGTCGCATCTGGACCTTGGTAGAGATGGTTGTTTAAAGGTTTACCAGACACCTTAGCAACATAACTTAATGTCACTCTCACTTTCCTTGGTTTCTAAGTGTTATTCATAGCATGATGGGACAAATACCATCATGGTTGGTAGCTCGTATACATTTGCATACCTGAAACTCTGTTAGCACGCCGTTTTTCAATAATCTACCGCATGGAACGGGTGTAATTTTCATGTAAGTCTTTGGAGCCTACAAGTAGACGTCTCAATTTTTTTAATATTCGTTTAGCTAAGGCTTAACTCTCAGAAATCACATTTCTTCCTATCTTCCAAGGTAAATGAACTACCCAGTGACTTTCATCAAAATAAGTGTCGTAATCTACTATTATAATTGTTTTTAAATCATTCAAAAATAATGATTTTTAAGATGAATGGATGTCAGCAAACTCATGGTTATATACTCTTTAACTTCTCTACAGGATCGTCAGTTTGAGAAAAATCATTAACAATCTTTTTATCATGCTTGTTGTAGCCTGCTGGTCTAAAGAGAACACACCTTAGCAGTGTACTACTAGCATAAGCACCTTTTCTTCTACGCAATCTTCGGTCTAGGATCAAATGTGCTTCAGACACTTTACAACCAACAAGGAATATGATTTCGCCGCCCATTAACTCTGACCATGATAAATCCGCAAGATTAGGCCAGTTTTTGGCACTGTTCATCACAGGTTTTTTGGTCTGTGAACCGGCACGTCATCTACCATAACAACCTGTCCATTAAATATACATTCTTTTCTACCTTGTGAGTAAACTTAAAGAGCTTTGATTGTCGATCTGGCCAACTTATTTCCGCTTACCGGTAATCGTCTCACTCTCCGATGATAATCATGATAATCGTACAGTATTTGACTTGATTAGGATAACATCTGAGCCATTTTTTTAGAAAGGCCTATCCACAAACTTCACTGTCTCTATCCTTGAGGCATATAAGGATTAGACCTAAAAACACAGGCTCTATTAGTGACTCTGTGTACCCACAACGACTTTCTTAAGATCACTGACTCGGAGTGCCCCAAATCCTCATGGGTCTACGTAACAACGGGTGATGCTGATCCAAAAAATATTCGATATTACACACTCCTATTGAATTGTTCTGAAGGAGGCTGGAAGGTTACTTTAGTTCAATAGGTAGTAGATGAGATCAATCTAGGTGCTACACTTCAATCATATCTTTTACTGACCAATTTGTTTTTCCTCTTCTTGTGAAGGAAATGTAACAGGGACCAGGCCTTTACGTAACCACTAGTTCGTATCAGCTACTCAAACCAACAATTCACTAAATCTGCTAAACAAAATTGAAGTTGAAGCTTGAAATATGTAATCCTGTACTCTGGATTGAGGCCGCGTGTTTTGTTAGTGTTTGTTGACACTATCAACTTCTTGTTTGTATTATCATATTGTCTTAATCTCACGCTTGTGTTACTTGTGTTTGTTTGCATTCGTTTTCTTAATTAAGTTTAAGTGCATTCTTTGCGTATACTGAGTGGTAGATTATCTGGAGCCCACTGCTCCTCCCACTTCCCCTGCACACAAAGTATCTTCAGGTTAAACTCAAACCTACCAAAGACGCAACTTTGTATGTGTAATGGACTTTAAATCTCATCCTGGTACTTCCGGTCATGATTGTCGAATTGTTTTGGTCGCTCGCTACCACTGATTGTTATCGATTAGCTCATTACTAAATGTGAGTGCATTTTATTTTCTTCTTGAATCTTCAGCCCACATCTGTTATTCTCTTGAGGATGAATGTGCAAAAGTCTAGACTCAACACAATCCACTATATATTTGTGTAAGTCTATTTCAATCCGAAAATCTTAATGCTTGAAATGTGAGGATGGTTCTACGTTATTATGGCTTGCAGTATAAGATCTATATGGGATAGCAGCACTGCAATGTAGTATTGGAGTGTTACGCTTTCAAAAAATAAAAACCGTCAGTGAATGAGTAGTGTTATCTTAATAAGAATCTTCCATAGTCCACTATCTTAGTGGCTTCCACATTTCCTGACGTAGGTATTGTGAGAAAGTGGTGAAAAATTGGTTAGTTTGTGAAATGGTCTTTTATGTTTGTAGTTCACTGTCCACAAATTCCCGGATAATATATTTAGTAGCATACTGAATAGTTGAAGCTGGTATAACAAGGAGTTGAAATGGTTAGTAATTTTTCTCAGATGTTCTATTTTTTTATTAGGCTCAAGTAAAAGCTGTTACTGTGACGGCCAGACGATAATTCATGGACTACCTTTGAGTGATGCTTAGGTGACCTTAAAACCATCCACCTTCTTACTGGCGTTAGACGAAGGTTGCAAATTAATGTGGGAAATTGGAGTCAAAGTTTTCACGAACCGACATCAACTGTAGGTTCAAAACACCATTCATCTCTATGGATGAATGAATTTCGCGCCAAAGTCCAAGACCTATTTTAAGTCTGATTAGTTCGTCTATAAACTGTAGTCTTGCCATCAAGATAATATACTAAACTATAACAAATCGTTTGTTCTGGTCTTTTTGTTTCATTTCTTTTTATAAATAAGCCATTTTAAATTTATTAAGGACGCCGTAATTTTCTGATGTATTTTGATATTTTATTTTCCACGTTTTAAACCAATAAGTTTATCTTTCATCTTTTTTTCAGCTTCCTTATCAACCAGATCTATATTATTTCATGCTAACATCTAAACTGGTGAATATTTTTGACAATTCAAATGAGTCGTGTCTTAAGATCTAGTATCAGAGAAAATAAGTCAGAACAAGTCATACCTCGGAAACAACGAAATGAAAGAGTTTTTTCTGTAATCCCCTCAGTATCTTCCAGCTCAACGAGAACTCCAGGAAGTCGTCTCACTCAGCGAAGACGACCGAGTCCCCCTGATTCTTGTAGAAACGTAACATCTGTCGGTTGTGAATATTTTAACTTAAGAGATCAAAGCAATATATCGGATAAATTGAATACTTCCCTTGACGATCAAAAAGAAACCCATCCACCTGTAGTATTTGATTCACATATTACACAATGTAAGGTCAATTTCTCAGCCAACTCTGCAACTCAGGTTGCGGAATCTAGTCCACTGATTGTTGGAAGAGCAAATGAGATCAGTCGTTTGACATCTCTGATTCAGTCTTGTATAGACACGAAGAAAAGTGCTAGTTTCTATGTAAGTGGGGCCCCAGGAACTGGAAAAACAGCAGTTGTTCTGAATGTTGTTCAAAATTTTAAAACGTTTGGCAGATGTAATACTGCTGTGATTAATTGTATGCAATTAACGTCATGTGCAGATATTTTTGGACGAATATCTACTGTTTTAGAAGCTCACAATGGCAAGGAAAATAATTTTATTAGCGATGCTGATTCATTGGAATGCTTTTTGAATCAACAACCACAAAAAAAGACCATTATCCTAGTTTTAGATGAAGTGGATCAGTTATCTACGCGTAGTCAGAAGTTACTCTACAGGTGGTTTTATTTCCCGTAACTCAGAATATTTTGTTAGTGTTCTATTTTTAATTGCAGTAACTTTATATTAATCTAAATAGATAAAAGTTAGTTCCCACCGTAATCAGTCAGATGACACAATCATCTATCGGTAATTCTTAATTCATCATGACGATATGAAGTTGTTCAGTCGTTGTTGTCCTATATTTCTTGACTATCCATGAATTCCGCTTCATGGTTTTATTTTTTATTCTAGTGTTGCACCAGTTTGTTAATTTCAGCCCATCGCTTTTGTTTTCCTTTCGTGCTGGTTTTCGCATTTCACACATTAAACCAATCCATATTTGTCCTGTGTTATACCTTGCTTCTGTTGAACGAAGGTTTCATCTGATTAGTTTTTTCCATACTTAAAAAAAATGAAAATTTGGTTTAAGAGATTTCATTCGTAACTTGTAAGTATATACTTTTATTCTTGTGGATTCATTGTCTTCACGTACTTTACTTGTAAGACTTGTGGTATATTCAGTGCCCAAATAAAAGTGTAGGGTGGCGCTAAAACGATCCTAGTTAAAAACCCTTTTAACCAGGTCTTATAATACTATTAGATTTTTTAAAATCAGGACGACTCACGAATTCGTATATTTTTATGGCTATTTTGTGAATTATCAACTTTCCCGTTATCATTAATGAAACGTCCGCGTTTTATAACTACACTTACCTTCTAGAATTTTCGAATGGCCATCAAAACTTACTTGTCACACCATTGTTATTGGAGTAGCAAATGCCTTAGATTTACCAGAACGTTTGCTGCCACGTTTGAAATCAAAAGTTTACAAACCTATTCATATTATATTTCAACCATATTCACAATCTGAGCTTGCTGAAATTGTCCAAGCTCATTTATCCAAATCATCAAGTCGTGGACCATGTATAGAAGCTCTTGCTATACAACTATGTTCTAGAAAAGTGAGCTATTTGATTTGTAATATTTCAGATTATTTACTATTTACGCAAGCCTTGTGAGTTTTCCTATAAAGTAATCATCAATAGGAGTAAAGTTTTCACTAGGTTACTCTAAAATGCGTACATTACATCAGGGTCCATTTAAATCTAATATTCAACTGTTATATTCCAAATATGTGGTGCGGTATTGATTTGCTCTCTGCAAGATATGAACTTTTTAGTTGTGGTAGGAGTGGATACTGGTCGTTATCATCGTACTGAGACCAAGCTTTTCTCAAGGTCTCGGTTTCCAGTGTTTCTTTTTTTTCGTGTTAGTGTGTAAGGCAATCAGTTTTGGGCTGCATAGTACTCCTCATTTTGTGTTTTGCTCCTAAATTGGTGACGTATTTCAGCAGTGTAACTAGTTGTCTTTTGTGAAGTGTATAAAATGAATTACAAAGCTCTATGACTCTGGATCACCCCCAAATGTCCTCGTACGGTCGAGGGTGGGGAGAGTCAGCTCTCCCTCTCGAAATGCTTTCACATGGCCACACATATACAGCCACTGCCAGGCAAGTCCTACTCGTTGCCTTCTCGCGGCGGATCCACCTAGAAGAGTTGGAAAACCCTGATTCCAAACCAATGGTGCACATGGGCTCCAGTACCCTGAGAGAACAAATGGCGTATGAACTAATTGTTGGTAGCCGGCTATAATCGGACTACATCTCTTGACGTCGCTCCACTGCCTTGTGGACCAGACCTTTAGGTCGAAGGCTCCGGGTGTGGCCACTTAAGAAAACCACCTGCTTCGGTCTGGGCGCTCGGGCAGTATCGCAGCCCACACACAAATCAAGTGACTTGTGTGGTGCATTTGTATTCGGTGCCCCTTTGTATCAATATTCATGTGTTAAAATAAGTAAATGGCTGTGGATTATAAGGGTTAAAACTAACAGATTCAATAGAAAAAATAATGGTAATTACATATGTCGAGAATGTTAAACACATTTCGTGAGCTACCAGCTTAGTGCTATATATATAACCTAACCTACAAGTTCAAGTGCCATATCACCTATCAATATTCGAGTACTCATTTCATATCGTTAGCAATATTTCTGTATCACAATTTAACACGTTAGTTTTACTAGTATAGATGTTAAGACGTTTGAAAGATTTTTATTCTCACTGGAATATTCTGAATATATTTGAGCAGGAAGTATGTACATGCTTTGAATACCTTGATTAAAAATAAATTACTTCCATGCGTGGTAACTACTTAAGAGAAATTATCATTTATTAGTTGTTTTTTTTATTACTTATGTAGCTTTTATTAATCTATTGAAGTTTGTAGTAAAATATCCTAAAACAAAACTATTTTTGAAGAACATATGTAATAGATTTACCTTATTGTATAAGTAACTCATTACTTAAAGAGTTCAGTGACATTTAATATGAAATATTCCCTTCGAACACTGATCACTGCTCTTAGGGAAAAGCAACTGTTTTTAAATTGCAATATAGTGTTAAGTTATAGCTTACTTTTCTTTCCAGTAACATGTATTAATGTTGTCAGCATATTTAATTTAGATTGCTGCTTCTACAGGGGATGCACGTACTGCACTAGATATATGTCGCAGGGCGATTGATTTAGCCCATCAAGATGCTCGGATGAAAAACATATCTGACGCGTTTATTCCTCAAAAGGTGGCGGCTGATTCTCACATTACACCTTCCATCCAGCATATAAGTAGGGCTTTAAAGGAATCTCAGGTGAGTACTGTAGTTTCGTAGTAAGTAATGTTGGAAGTGTATTTTGAGACTATTAACAAACTATAGAGATATATAGTACAGACTAAGTCATTTAGATGTTTTTTAGAAATAAGACGCCGAACACTTCGACCTGTTGATAGAGCTTGCTCGTTTGTTTACCAGATATAAAGCAATGTAATACAGTAATATTTGCTAGGTAGTGTTTTGGGCAAAATAAATCGCCTATCATCATATCGCTATTGGGTCTTAAATTCGACATTATGTAATTATTGCTTACTATAATCGGTTACGCCTTGTTTTGAAACGGTGTAGTTCTCATTCCTATACGTGACCATTAGATTTTTTTCATGCAGCGGTTAAACATAGTTCGCTATTTCCATTACGACCCACATCTATACCCGAATTTTGTTGGTCACTACCTGGATTGACGTAGCTCTGTTTGTTGATACGTCCAGCCACTTTATTTTTTGTTTTACTAGGGGTCGGCTTGGATTAAACTAGCAACACCTTGTATTTATTAAGTGTTTAACTCATATCAAACATTCTGTTTTCTTATAATTTGTTAGTACACCTGCTTATCAGGATCATATTATATGTTTACTGTAGACAGTTCCCAAGTTTTCTGGATGGAGGTTCATTGTAAAGGAAGTTTAAAGCAGACGTTACTTTTCCCGTCATCTGTAACAAAACCGGCTAAAATAGTAAAGACAAAGGTTCATAGCTACTGCCAGCAGTTTCAGTCTACTTAGATAAACGCTTTCCATTAGTTCCTTTGCGCTAGAGTAATTTAGTAATTAGATGTGTTTGTTCATCATACAATCCAAAAGATATAGACACAATGCTTTAATTAATAGGTAGCACTCATAGACCAAATATGATCTTAAAATCGTTAAATCAGTTCACATAAATATTACTTTCATATTTAGTCGTCTGAATTTGTCCTTTTTGTCTAACATCTGTATTGTCTTTGTGTTATATCTCAGGGTAATTCGAGTTAATCTTTTTTTCATTCTTACCAGGTTGATTCTCCTCTTCCTGTTAAATCGTTTACTGGCGTTAATACATTTACTACTAATAGCTCTGAGCTGCCATTACACCATAAGCTTCTACTGGCTAGCTGTCTTCTGTTAAGAAAACAAAAAGGTTTACGTGAATTATCGTTTAGCCTACTTTATGATACGTACATTCTTATATGTAAGAAAAAACAAATTACAAGTTTAAATGAATCTGAACTCTCTTCTGTATGCGATCTTCTTGATTCTCGTGGATTTATTCAACTTACTGGTCCGCGTTACTCAGTTAAAGCTACAGTGGGTACACCAGCACGTTTAAGACGTATCCGATTACGTTTAGATGATTGTGGTGTCCAACAAGCTTTGATGGACGATTTCCTGCTGTCATCAGTAATGGATATAAAATTACAAAAGTAATTTTAATCATAATTTATCTGTATATATTTATCTATATGTTTCACTGTTGAACTAATCAAACACGCTCTTATTTCGTATAATTTTTCCCATGTAAGTGTTTCGACCTAAATTCGACAGTGTTTGTTTTCATTACAGATGAGATCATATTTTTAAACTTATGAAAGTCCTTGACAATTATTTTTGTAATCTATGCATTTATGAAATATAAAGATGTTTTATCTGTTCTCCAATATGTTTAAAAAGATTTTTTCAGTAACTAATATAACTAAAAAGTTACTTTCGTCTGGTATGCATGGAAAACGATGAATATTTAAATGTAACTAAAGGATAAGCAAGTATAATATAAAATAGAGATAAATTAAACTTCAATAATAGAATGTTCAGATATTTGGAATTTGATTGAATTCTCATTTTTCACCAATCTTGCTGCTTAAAGTTGATTTCTACATACTGAGTGAAAAAAATAACCAAAGATATCCGACTCATCAGTCAGCTGCGACGTAGGTCCAGACATATATATGCATCTGTCCAAGTTGCCATACGTCATTAGCACAAAAGGCTGAACACCGAATTCATAGAAGTAGTTACTTGATTGGTGGTAATATATAAAAGAATGATCGCTTATAAGGAGATAGTACAGAAAAAAGAATTAGTTGGTAGAAAGAAAGATATAAAGTAGTTTTAGTCTCTTAGTTTAAGAGAAGACAGAGAGTGTATACACCGACGCCACTGTAATCAATTCTGAGCCATGTCACTCAGAGTCTCCGACCATTGATTAGGATAGTCATGCCGACCCAAACCAAGTAGTCTGCATCTACCAACACGGCCAAGAATAGAAGTTAGCGACTTTAAGCACTGATGCCACGTTTTGGTTTGGCCACCCTTAACTTTCTTCTAGCCGTCCCTAACACTAGTCAGCATTGCGCGTCGTGGCAATCGGTGTTCAGGCATACGTAACACGTGGCTCAACCATCTCAGTCGACGAAGATTCACAACCTCATCAACTGATTTTCCATCATTCTCTAATACTCTGCGTCTAACCTCGCCATTACTTACCCGATGATCTCAGCAGACTCAAGCAACATTTATGAGATATATGTGATCAAATACTAGTAGCTTACGAATATCTTTTACCCTTAAGGGCCACATTTCGCAGCCGTAAATCAGAAAAGAACGAATGGCCGCGTAGTATACTTGTCTCCTAATTGAAAATAATTCTTGCTGGTACAGATTCTCATTCCCTCCGGAAAATTTCCTATGAGCAAGCGACCTTGTAAAGTCGGGGCAGGATAGGGAGAATGAGTGAATAGATTTTTAATTAATATTTCATCAATTAGCAGTTACACAAATTTACTAAGCTTTATAGTTTGGTTGAGATTGATAGTTTCGTAAGTTAAATGTGCTTGATAATGGAAATAATCTCGTGACTGCATAAATAGGTTATCACAGTAGACTTCGTTATCAAGCCATAATTACTAACTGGATAGCCCATAAAGTCAAGTTCGAAACCAATATCTAATGTCTTTATTGCAAGCTTTTGTAAACTATTTGAGTTTACAGGCCCTGAACAGGTAACGGGTTTAGTTAGCAGCTTCGACAAGTTATTACTGTTAAAATCACTCACAAAATGGAATTTAATGATTTTAAACGCTTAAAGAACTGCTTTAGGGTAACTGAGAGTTTATTACTTTAATTTTTTTTACAGTGGACTCTACCTCCTGAAATTCTTGACAAGGGTATTTCGCAAATATAAATTTGCCATTGTTATTTGTCTTGACTAAATTCATTTAATGTTGCTATAAATTCTTAGCCTCTTACCGGTTATGAAAAAAGAAGCTAATACCAATCTAAACAGCAACAACATATAACCAACAAATCCATATATTGTTTTGGTATATTTACGTTATTTTTTCTTCAATTGCTATAACTATATGTGTAGGTACTCATGGAGTAGTTCATTTTCCAACCATCTATGTCGGTGCGAAACCGCATGAAACGACATCCCATGTTACTACTCTAATCAAAAATTTAGTTGTTTGCTTCACTGCAAAGTCTTAATGGAACACGCACAAAATCTCTTGCTTATCGGATTTAGTGCCCATTTCTTTTGGTTACAACACGGCTCACTCATTTGATGGCAAACACACTCCAGCTTCATTGACAGGTGAAACATGATATTTTGCACTAACGATTACAATTTCTTATTGAAGATCTCCCTTTAAACAAAAGTGAAGAATTATCTATTGTTTAAATGTGAAAAGCGGCAATTAAGATTTATCAAGCCTCGCTAACATGCTTTCTTGTTGGACTGAATACGTCTGGGTTTACAATTGGTCTTACTTTTATATACGTTCGTGATCCTCTGTTTTTAAATGGAGTATTTATGTATGGTGGGATGATTACATGTCACAGTATTGAACCATCAAATCTATCTCAAGATAGTACTGGAATTTGGTAGCTAACGTGTATCTGAGCTATTGCTTCCGTAACATCAGCATCCATAAACTATATTTGCAATACAAACATACAAAGTGATATGTGAAACACCAAACGGAGTTATTTATAGCAAATACAATCAAAAGGTTTCCTAAAAGTAGGCTGTGTGGATTATAGTTGGTTTATCTGAACATAATATACACACAGAAGCCGGATCTACCAAGAAGACGTAATGATTTATATTCACTCCTCTAAAGCCATTGAACCAAGAAGTGTTGTGGAGCATGAATCATAAAACACACAAACTTCACCTTCATTCCTCTCGTCAAGGCCAAAGTTTATTGATAGAAGATGCGAGACAGAATTTCTGTAGTCCCCGTCTGAATGAACGTCCTCTACCGTGAACTCACTATGTGAATCTTCGAGGCGACGACATGCTGAGACCCTCACATTTTTTCGAAGTCGTTTATTTTCCTTAGCAGGGCATTCAGTTCTTAAGTTACCTATACTATCAAACCAAGTAGTTGGACCGCGATTTGTCATCTAACTTTCAAAATAGTCCGTAAAGGAAGATGAAACGCCCAATGTCCAATACCTTATTACTAGCTGATTTCCTTGCGCCCTATGTTGAAGTACGGTTAGTTATTTAAACATGTAAATGTATGAATATTAAAATAGGCAAAAACAGCTAATTAAATGACAACTTATAGTAAGCTTGGTGTGTATTGATACGTAATTGTAAAATATAAATCTCTAAATGCAGTATGATAGAGTTAACGGATTAAAAAACATCGTGTATGTTCGCGTAATTTGCCCTCTCTCCGAGTGAAAGTATATGAATCACGAGTAACTTCATTATTATCGACCCTCCTCTACAATGGTAGCGTTCCGAAATTAACAAAACAATTGTAAACAAAAACTACTCCTTTTCTGTTGTATCGGTTTTCAGGCGTTTGTTAGTTGATTAAAACATCGGGCTTTAAAGAGAACAGATTTGTGTACTCCTGCACTACTGACTGTTGTAAACAGATATTTAATTATTCTCTATGGCAAGGAGAGACTTGGTGTGATGCATCTCCATTGCTCAAAGCTCCTGATTGGGCTATTCACACACGTCTCATCAATAAGCTTAAGTAGCCTCAGACATTCAGGAATGACGGAATAAAAAGATATATTTAGCGGGTTCTCAAGAACTGTTCAATATAATCTGCCTAGCAGTTGCAAGGTATACGTAATAAGGATACCTATTTGTGATAAAGTGTGATGCGTGCCCGAAAGCATCCAACTACGTAGTATCCAGCAAAACTAATGAGGTCAGCGGGAATGTCGAAGAAATACACAACTATTTATTTTGATGATATTTTATACTTCTTTGTGTATCATGTCACTATTATTATAATAGTTCGATTCATATCTATATAGTCGAAACATAAAGTTCACTGTATTTGCACCTTTTCGCAGACTACGAAATATCCTAGTGGGATCCTCCAGGGTTCAATAGTATTATCTCTACTATGTTTGATTTTACGAAATGATCGTATTATCAACCTAAATTGGAATTAATAATTTTCCTTGATGATATTGATCATTGGAGAGCAATTTGAACCTGGATGATAAGTTAGGAATTTAGGTGTGTCTTACTTATGTTTAAAAACAGACTGATAACTGAATACGTACTCTCGAAGCGTAAAAATGTAATGTAGCCCATCTAAATTGAACCTACGACTAAGGTTTCATCCTCTAGCGCTATATCAGTTTGAAAAGTAACCAAGAATGTTGCTATTCTATTACTGGACTTTGACGCTAACTGTGGAAAAGTGCATTTCGAGATGAAGCGGTAAATAAGTCCCCAAAATAAATAGCTCTGTAACTCTTCGATGTTGGATGCCGACAACATCAGTTTCAATGGACTCACCTAGCTGAAGGCGCTCGATCGTGCATCCGCACCAGATCACGTGTGGGAACGCCGAGCTCAACAACCACTGCAATCGCTAACCAGATTAGATCAGACCATCGTCGATATATTGATAGCTTATCAAATATATTTTCCAACCTTCTCGCTCCTGTCTTTTGATTTCACTTGATGGGTACGATTCATAGTGGGAGGTGTTACTGGTTAAAGCGTCGTCAAACTCCGAATACCTATGTCATCTTGAGAGTAAATCTATCGCTGGTAATGTTCAAGCGCATTTCGGCGAGTTCAAAAGTAGAATTTTTCACCTTATCTTCAGCATTTCAAATCGACCTTATTTAGAATTTGGAAATATGGTTTTTCTACTCTAACTCCAAAGGGATATTAATAAACTGGGATGTCTCAAACGGCGAGTTGTGAATTCTGTTCCAGGACACAAAATTGAACTTTATTAGAAAGGAGAGCCCATATATCGCTTTGTAGAGAAATATTAAATTGTTTTTTTAGCCTACGGTGCCATAAAGGTTCTAAAGATAGATGCTTACATCTGTCTGTGTAATCGAGATTCGAGTTACATCCTAGTAGTTGACGTGTGAAACGTCTTTGAACATCTACTCTTGTTTTGTCTGTGATATTCATATTAGAGAAGACAAAAGAGCAGTATTCAAGGGAGGGTCGTACACATATTTTGTAGAGAGTAAGTTTACCCTCTGTTGTGAAAAAGTTTTTCATTATAAAACCAATTAGCCGTCTAGGTTTAGAAATAATAGAGAAGGCACGTTCTTTAAAGTTCAGGCTTCCTGTGTAATTAATTCCTAAACCGTGTACTGATTCGAGTGTCTGGACTCTACTTTCATTTAATTGAAGTCGCGCTTTATAGGGATGCTTTCCAAAGTGCATGATCCCGCACTTGTTGAGGTTAAATGGTAATTGCCATTTTTCACTCCATATATCTTAAGTTATTGAGGTCCTTTTGGATCTGGGGTATACTTTCGCCTAGTGTCTCAGGCTTATAGCTGTATACTATTTTGAGATCATCAGCATATAAGTATGGTTTCTCAAATTCTATGGTGTTACATATATCGTTTATATACATAAGAAACAAAAGTGGACCTAATACGCTTCCCTGGATGACTCCACTGGTGATTGGTCTAGGGGACGAGAGACAGTCATTGTACTTTACCATCTGTTTACGTTCTGTTAAGAACGAAGCAAACCATGAGTACAGTGGGTTTTGTATTCCGAAGGACTTTAGTTTGACGAGTAGCCTTTTGTGTAGGACCTTATCAAAGGCTTTCTTAAAGTCTAGGAATAGGACTGATACAAGGAGTCCGCCGTCTCGTTTCAGAGTTATATCATTCAGGTAGTCTACTAGGCATGTATCGCATGATCTGGACCTAAGAAATCCATGCTGGGAGGTCGAGATGAGATTATTAGTTAGTAGATGTTGGACTACAGCCGCCTTAACTACTTTTTCCATCATTCTGGATACCACTGAAGTTATGTTTATAGGCCTGTAATTTTCAACGTTTGCTTCAGGTCCTGTTTTAATTTTGGGAATGATATGTGTAGTTTTCCAGGCAGTAGGGTAACACGCTGAAGAGAGTGATATCGCGAATAGTTTGAGAAGCAAAACACACATATCATCACCTCCACGTTTTAGCATGCAAGATGGAATACCATCTGGTCCATCAGTGAAGAAGTGTTTCAATGTACTGATTGCTTTGGAGATATTTTGTACACTGAATTCTACATTAGTAATTTCACAGGGAGTTACTGGGATTGGTTCTGAATCATTAAATGGTTTTTCGTTAGTTAGTGAGAAACAAAAATGTTCACTAAATAATTCCGTGATAAGTTTGGGATCTTCGTATACTCGTTTGCCTTTAATGAATATACTCCCTCTCGATTTAGAGCGTTTAAGTTTATTTTGGAGTAGTATGGTGAGTGCAGAGGAGTTATTATTAAGTTCAACTGCACGTTTTCCTGTGCTACTGCTTTTTGTTTAGTTATTGCCTCTGTTCGGACAAGTATTTCTGTCATCGTTACTAAAGAGGAAAAGTCATTTAAGTTGTGGAATCGAGTACAATGTCTTTGTAGACGTCTTCTTGTACTGACCGGTATATGGAGATCTTTGGAGAACGTAGGTTTAGAGTATTTTAAAGGTGCGATGTTGTTGATGATACTTTTGATGTTGTGATAAAATATATTGGTTAATGTGTCGGTATTGTTTGAGGTAAAGAAAGTTCTCCAATCAGTGCTTCTTAGGTAATTGTGGAAGTTATTCCAATCAACCTTGAGATAGTTTCTACGAAGTGTTGCGGTTTTACTTCTATCGGTTGTGGTTTTTACATTAAGGCTGCATATGACAATGTTATGATCACTACCTGGGAACTTTTTTCCAATATACAAAGTATTGGGGATGAGGCCACTGGTAAAGACTAAGTCTAAGATGTTTTGATGTCTGGTAGGGCTATCGACATACTGAGTCCATTGTCCAAGCTCTAGACATTCAATAAATGATTCATAACGTCTCGACGCTTTGACTGGCAGCCAAGAAATTTCGGGCATATTGAAGTCACCACAAATGAGCTTGCCTGTGAATGAGAGGGATGATGCTAGTGTGAATACCTCCGATAATACTGCTATTTCATCTATTGATGCGTTAGGTTGACGATAAACACAGCCGAGCAGTAAGGTAACGGAATTCGACAGCTTTAATACAATCCACACCGAATCCTTCAGTTTGTTTAGTTCAGGCATATCACATAGTAGTGAGTTTGGGCTAGAGTGAGCGTAAATAAGGCATCCTCCGCCTCGTCCATTCAATCTGTCGCTTCTATATAGAAAATAGTTATCAAGAGATATGCTTTGGTTGGAAATATTACTGTCAGTCCATGCTTCAGATATCATAATAAGTGACGGTTGATATATGGATACAAACAGGGCTAAACCCGTCTTTTTGTTGCAGATCGATCGAGCGTTGATAAGACATATATTAAGCAAGTGGCCTACTAAGTTAAAATGGGTGAGAGTATCTCGGATAAAGTCGTCGTAACCCTCGCGGGTGTGAGATGAGTTTGATGTGTGGGATTGGATGTTCTTCATTAGCTCGGTATTTTGATAGCTAGATTTAGTGGGAGATGTATCAAATGAGCTAGTGAAGTTGATTGGGGAGTTTACCCAGGAGGAAAGGGTGGGAGTACTCTGTGATGGAAACTGTACGGAGGAAACAAATTTATGGTTTGCATGTGGTTTGAAATAACCTGGGCTATATGCTTCAACGGAGGTGTCACTAGGGGTCTTACTCCAAAAAAATCTTGTACAGGCCTACTGTGAAGTGTATGGTTATTTACAAAATAGTCTTGATGGTTAGACTCGTAGCCCCTGTTATGGCTATTTAAGTTGGCGTGAGAGGGGTCTGCTACGCGTAACTGGGAGGAGTTGCGTCTGTTGTTATACATGGGAGCCGTTGTTATGTGATGGGTTGGTACTAAAGGGTGTGAGAAGTTTTCTTTCTGAGAGTAATTACAGTTGCGATCCTGGGGAATGTAGGTAGTGTGGAGTGAGAAACCTATTATTACCATTCTTATTTATGGTTTTAGGCTTCACGGGGTGATTAAGGTGGCCAGTTCTTTGGTAGTTTTCGTTAGTCTGCGTGTAAGAAGGAGCAGTTCAAATCACTGAATCTTTACTCTCAAAGGTGACCGCCTAATAACTTGTATTATGTTAAACTCTTCTGGGCATCTTCTAAGATATCTACTTAAGCTTACTCACTCTGCAATCGAACTACAATTTGTCTCATATGTGTCTCAGCATAATACAATGGTTCTTTTACTGTTCTGTTCAAGTTTCATTCAAAGGTTTTACTTAATCAGTCAGAGCAAACAAAAGTGATCTAACAGAGGACGAATAGTTGTCTTTCTCATTTTTAAAGCATAGAACTGAATTTCGTTTAGTTTAACTAATATAATTATTGTCCATGTGTAATTTATGCATGAAAGCGTTCCACCACAAGTTATATATACAAGGGTTCAACGATATCTACGTATTATCTGCAATTCGTTCAACAGGTTCTCTGTATATTTGAACGAAGCCAAGACGATATCCAAAAACGAGCTTAGATGCATTTATAACGACGGATTGTAAGTGTGTAGTGGCATTGGACAATAACCGCACAATCCACAAAGCTGAACACGAGACTACTCAGAAAATAGATATTCAATATTTAACGCGGATAAATACCTAACAATGGAGAAGGCGCGAACAATGAATTGAATGGACTGGAGCTGATCGAGTGGCATGGCTCGGCCATGCAGGCGTGATCTCTGCTGAATGTTACCTTATATCTTCTATTCATATTAGATATATTGTTCCTTCTCTAGCCTAACCTTGTTCTACATAGTGTACTGGTAATTGATACGATACAGTGAGTTGGCGTAGTCGATGGTGTGACTTCCACGTAAGATCTTATAGATTAGGCAGTTATATCACGACGAATCTACAAATTTAGGATTAGGTCTATTATTAGAGCAGTACTAATATCATAGTAGACCATAATTCTACAAGTGCAAGACCAATAAGTAAAATATAGCGTGTAAGATCCAAACTACGGTTTGGAGTGAAGGACAGCTGTCAGGATGAGTTAGATACGCGCCCTCGCCCGATTGAAACCAAAACAAGTAATTGGGTAAGATGACGGTTGTATAATTTATCATAAATTTAAGTGTACATTATTACCACTCAGCTATCCAACCAATAATTGTTCAATTAATCAAATCTAAACCACAATAAATAAGAAAGTTGATAAAGAATGCAAGAAAATTACCAATCACCACAAATTAATGTTATTCTATCCTATCTGGATAGATCACGTACAGATTCGTTCAAAAGGTAATAATTGGTCGCTCAAAACACAGAGTGTTTCCAATTCTGAAAGAGTGCTTCAAGTCACAACAAAAATGCACAATTCCAGTCAACACAGGTCAAGCAATCAAAAGTAAGAACAAACCACAATGGCTGCCGCCCAGACTTAGCATAAAGTAAAACAAAACAAGTGCAGTTCGGGAAGAAACACGTGAAATTAGTGAAGGTGTAGTAAAAACCAGAACTATGATAAAATACAAATATTAACAATTCAAATGTAGCCAAAAAGTTAACAATGTACAACTAAGAGGATCAATAGGAACAAAGTGCAAGTATATACATAGAGGGATTTTCACAAACACACAAAGCATTCAAAATAGATCTTACATAGCGTATGAATTGAAAAACTTAAAAACGCAGAACTATGGTCTTCTTCGGCATCGTTACATTTATCTGCACAACTATACGGATTGACCTTATTCAGAAATGGTAGATTTGTCTTGTTGACTAGTCTTTAAGATCTTTGATAGAAGTCACAACATTCTCTACCTTGATATAATGTTTCGAATTATTTGAATTATAGTACGAACTAAGAGTCCAAGAAATAACGCAATTGAATTAAGAAGACACAAGCACAAACGGATGTATTGTATTTGGAATTCGAAATCGTGCAATCAACAAGTACAAAAGTGTCATTAGTTCGTTCAAACACCACATCCGCTATAGCTTAAATTGGAGTCCAGGTGTTTGTAATCAATTGTACGTCTTCTTCTCAAATTCACCCTGAGTCTGTCCGACATTGTATTGGATAAGGATTCTGTATTATCTAGAATGTGCTCATTAGCATTAGAACTAACAATCGAAATTGGAACTGACTCACCTGGTACCTGAAATTGTATTTGATCTACATGTCGACTGTATGTACTTAAGTCATCGATGTCTAGAATTCTCACCATCGATTTTCCGACATTCTTCAGAACAATACCCGTAGATGGTCGAAGATCATTTCCTCGATAGTATGTAACTTCTGCAGACTCCAGACATCTCATATTCGACCGAAGAATTCTTCCTTTCAATAGCTTCGCTGGAGTCTCCTTCGTCACCGAATGTCTGGCATTTTGTATATTGCAATAGAAAGGTATCTACTCCTCTCTCCAGCTCATTAAATGTTGAGGCGGCTATAGAATCAATAGCAGTCTTTAATGTCCTAACAAAATTCTCTGTCTAACCATTAGAACACGGATGTCTGGGAGCAGTAAACAGATGTTTGCACCCTATACCGTTCAACCAAATAGTGATTGTATCTGCAGCAAAATGTGAGCCATTATCAGTCACCAACACCATGGGAACACCTTCTCGACTAAACACCTTTCTTAATGCTTGTATTGTGAAATCAGAATTTGGTGAAGTTGTAAAAAAAATTTCAGGCCACCTTGAAAAAGAATCAATGACTACTAGTGCGTAGTATTTACCAAGAAATGGTCCACAATAGTCAGCATGAATCCTCTGCTAGGCCTCAGACGATACTGGCCATGGCACCCACTTCGAAGGATGATTTTTCAACTGATGACATTTCTCACAATTGTTTGCCGTACGACATATATCTGCATTTATCTCTGGCCACCAACATGTGAGCCTTGCCAAGGACTTCATTTTCTCAGCAAATGAATGACCACTATGAAGATCTTCAAGAACAGATTTACGCAATGAAGGAGGAATGACAGCACGATTATTTAAACACAGAATACCATCAGGAGTAGTAGATAGCTCATCCCGCTATGATAAATAGATAGGAAATCTACGTTTCAAATTAGTATTCCAACCTTTCCTTATAGCACTGAGTATACATCCAAAATATCTACGCGTTTCTCTAGTGAGATCTGAACGTCTCACTGGTAAAGGTTGCACTAACAAACAATCCGAAATATTAATAGGTTTATCTTGTAATGACTGTCGAGAAATGTAATCAACATGTTGAATCTGTTTGGCACTTCTGTGCTGAACCGTATAGTCATATGCACTCAAAGCAATACTCCATCGCTGAACCATAGCTGCTGAGGAACGTGCTAATGATTTT